ATACCAAATTTCGCAAAGTTTGTGTGGCTCTAAATCATTCTTACTTTATTCTTACTTTATCAATTCAATATCAACCACATAAACAACTTTTTATTGATTTGCATGTCACTCCCCCTTGTCCCATTGTTAGCGGAACGGAGGGAGTAATTCACAAGTGCTACAAAAAAATCAATGTATATTTATTGAAACATGAAGTACAATTGATAATTGAAAAGATTTTCAAACATTAAATACATTTGGTAAAAATCAATCGGAATCTCCGCCAGCGTCTGTTGTTGTTTCTTCCATGAAGTGACGGTCAGGGGCGATGCAAACTTCTTGAATTTTACGTCATACCTTCAACCAATCATGAAAGCAAATGAGTGTCTCAGGAGATTGTGCGCTCAATCTTGTTCTATAATCGGTGAGGACGTTGTTGGGCTTTGCTAAATTCTTGTTCCACGGCTACTGTTGACACCGACATTGATAGCACTTGCTTCGCCATCTTCGATAAAATCGGCAACATTCCTTCCTTTTCCTTCCACCACTTAAGAATGTCAAAATCATCTCCTTCTTCATACTCAACAGGAAAAATTAGATATAAAGAAAGCTCATTAATTGAGCTTTGTGCAACAACGGGAGTTATTTACTTTTTCCATAAGATTAGCAAATGTAGATTTGAAAATTGATTTTCCTTTAGAAGAAGTAGTAGTTGGTTTAGGGGGAGGGGTGTGTTAGCATAATGTGCATGAAACTCATTAAACATTTGATGAAATAAGTTACTTACCTTGTTGTAATGCTCTTTAGGATCTATGGACTTCTTTTCGTACATAGGTAATGGACCGAAAAACCAAGTATAATAGTATAGGGCTATAGGCGGAATATATGTATAATATTTTAAAAACTTTTCTTTCATTTAATCACAAAATAATGAATGTAATCGGCTTGTTGAAATTCAGAAAATGCACCGACGAGATTAACAACTTCAACAAAAAAATTGGTTTGTCGTAGGTTTATAAACATGACTAAAAGTTAGAGTTGCGTTATTAAAAATAACCAAAACTTTGCAAAAAATTTCCAGTGTCAATCTCACATGGATTTATAAAATAATTAGCAGCTTCTTTTAAAAAAGAGGGAAAATGGACTTTATATCTAAGAAGTACAACAATTAAGTTATAAGTACTATTCCAGCGAATAGACAAATCTTTTAAAAAAACACAATAGTTCACACGTCTGACCCTCAAATATTGACGTCATTGCTTTTTCAGTTGATTATTACCCCCAAATCAGTCTAATGCCCCCCTTCACGTTCTCCATAACATCACCTAGTGCGGTTAAATCATCTTTTACACATAAATTGAGAATATGACATGCACAACGCTGATAAAAAAACATATCCATCAAAGTAGAAGGACCACACAATTCATACAATCTAGGTATAGCAGCAGTTTTATTACTAGCATTATCAAAACCAATAGGAAAAACTTTATCAATCAAATTATATTCAGTTAAAATACGCCCGATGAGAATATAAATATTATCACCGGTGTGTCGGTCATTGAATTTTCGAAAGGCGATAACATGTTTATGCATATCCCAAATAGCATCAATATAATGTACAGCCCTCAAAGTTTGCGAAATACGAAGTAATACATATGATGATAAATATCCTCTCATATATCACTACAAATACTAACACGTCCATCAAAGTTTGCGAAATACGTTTTTAATATAGCCTTTTTCAAAACATATATTGGCTTACAACTTTTTTAATGGTTTTGCGACTATAGTTTCGAAATTGAGGATTTAAAAAGCCTTGAGCATAAGCACATAAAGCAAAACTTTCAGAAAAAATATCACAAATTTTCTTCAACAATTAATTCAAACATAGCAGTTAAATGTTTGGATTCATCATAAGAGAAATTATCAAAGGGTTGACCATTTGCAAATCTCGATATTTGTTTTTGCATCCCCTTGCCTTTTACTTTTGCAGACTACACGGGGTGAGAGGCCTTCGAATGCCTATGAGCGCCGTTGTATCTTGCGAAATCCCCAAGCATATATTTTTGTCACAATGTTTGCAAGTGGTCCACCACTTCTCGCTATTCGTTTCCTTCCACTTTTTGAAAATATTTTTCATAAGGAGAGATTCATTTTGCTTACCGGGTTGGGATGAACCAGGCTCGTCCCTATCGGGGGTTTGCTCGGCGTCCTATTCCTCCTCGATTGTCGTTGGCTCCTCATCATCGTCATCATCCTCCAGCTCTTCGTTAATCGTTGAGAAGAAGACCTGACATGTCCTTTACCTTTGCCTCACAAATTAGGATGACTCATCACAATCTCCTTCTTTCGATTGCGTTGGATGTTATCCATATCCACAGAATGTCTACCTCAGTACATCTTTTTTTGGAAGTAATAGGCTTAAATTGACAACACATCAATTCAGATAGTAGGGAAAACGACAAAAGGACTTCTGACAATCGCCGACCCTTGAACTAGACTCAAAGTTTATCACCTTGAAAGAAGCAATATAACTTGGTAATCCATTAATGGGCGCCAATGAGCCAAAGACGATCAACGCAGTCCTTGTATCACCCACATCCAAATCAGTCTTACAGAAAAATAAAATAAAAAAGCGAAAGTAAACTACAAAATCGATACAATCGAAATAAATAAATGCGAAAAAATAAAAGTCTTGTCCCAACTTCCCGATCACCACCATCTTCCATGTTCCTAGCGTTGACCGCTATATAAGCAACTTTGGCGGACTTACACCTCGAAGCCCGTCTCCTCGCCATTTTTTGCCCCATCTAGAGCAATAGTATCTCCCACGTGATTCTCTGTTTCCTGAGCCTCTTAGATGCGCTTACGTTTCTGCTCTCCAGACACATCCTCATTGTTTCCCACTTCCGCATCTTTAGTTGAGCTGTTAGCCATACCTGATGTAGACTCCTTCCATCCTCCTCCCGTCCTGCCATCCGATTTGTTGTCCTCTTTATGCTGGGGATCTCGGCTCGAGCTTGAAGACCCATCCACCAGTCACTTACTTTCTCCTGTAGGACTAGTCTTCATCCCACTACCTCCCTAAGTTGTACTCCAAAAGTTTTTTCCAGTACCCGATTTTCTTCATACGTAAATGGGTAGAATTTATCAGAATGCCTTATAATGCCGCAAACAGAGCAGACGTTAAGCAACTTCTCATACTTAAAATCCACCCGATACCTCCTCTTTTTAAGGGTTGTACCGTTGTACCCTTTTTCAGAGGCCTTTCCACATTCATACATACCCTAACCCTAACTCGCAAGTATGATTCCCACTTTTCACCAAATTGATTATCATCATAGTTGACAAACTTCCCAATAAAATTATCCACCCGCCTAGCTGTACCTAAATTCATCAAGCTGTACGGGACATTATGAACTTGTACCCAAAACTCAGCCTCATTTAAACAAATCTTATGCGGAATATCATCAGGTTTTACTTCTTTTAAAATCAATAAATTTCTCTCAAATTGCCATGGACTTCTATTAAGAACATGTTTCATATCAACAGTATGATAAAAATAAATAGATACCTCTTATCACCAATTTCTTTGATCGAAACACCTTTCCTCGGCCTTCAAAAAGACGCCATAAGCTCTCTGAACATCGGAAACTTGATTTTCATGTCTGTTAACAAAACCCTCACAACCAGATAGCTCGACCGAATCTCCTCAACTGGGACATCTTCGAGCTCGGTTTCATCCAGACCCAACTCCTCGGCTTCCTCTCCTATGGTCATCTTCTTGTATCGGTAAACAATCCCTTCCATGCAGCCCTTGTTGCCTCCTATCCCACGAACGAAACCTCTTGGCTATTCGGACTCCGCCCTCTTCTGCGACAGAAAAATCCTCTCTGCCGAAGCAAAATCTGATCGGACCTCCTATGTGCCTAATCGTACGCAGCGACTACCACGCTGACTCCCGTTGCCCTCTCCTCCTACCGAAGCCACAAAACGCAAATAGAATTGCCGAAGCGGCACCGCTCCTCTACAAAGGTCAATATCAGACAGAATGCTCTAGCTGTATAAAACCCTAGAGAGAGACTTTCTACTTCTCTAACATAATACCTCGGTACATCTTAAAATGTAACAAATATTACTCCGTACATTCTAACAAATATGTTAATGTGAGTACAAATACAATGCAACTAATATAAAAATATAAGTAAAATTGCATTTCATGTAAGAAAATTAGAGTTTAATGTACCTAAAATGTAAGCAATTTGTAACAAATACGTATTTGTGAGTCAATTAAAACGTGACTTCAAAATAAAAATGTGACTTTTATATTAAAATTTAAGTAATATGATAATTTAACAAAAAATGTGACTTATACCTACACGATGTTGGACCGGGCCAAGTCCTGGGGCACCCAACCCTTCCCAGTCCACCCCTAGTTGACCAGGACCGAGGCCAAGCCTGAAGCCCAACCCAGTTAAAGAAGCAGGCGGTACCGGGATCCTATTTTGGTGGACCAGACCGATCTGTGGGGTGGCTGCTAGGTGGGGTGGCTGCTAGGTGGGGATGGCGTTGGGTGGTTTGGAGGGGTTTCGGGGTGGGGTGGTGGGAATTAATTCAAAAAAAATTAACAAAAAATAAAACAAGCCCGGCCCGACCCAAGCCCAGCCAGGTAGCTCAGACTGGGCTTGATAATCTTTTACCTGCAGCCCACCGAGCTCGAGGCCCGGCCCGGCCCATCCCAATCCACCCCTAGGTAGAATTGGCGCTATGCATGGATACGGTCCCAATCTTGGATTCTTAGTTCTAAAAAAATTAGTGAGGCTCGCGACAGGGACCTGTTCTTCCGAGACCGACCAGCCAGTCCCCGTCCCAACTCCCAAAGAGTAAACCTGAGACCGAGATCCCTTTCCCTGCCGGTCCAATCTCGATCCTGGACTGAAACCTTAATTATCTGCCCGTCCTGGTCGGCTGGTCCCAGTTTTTAAGGGCTCAAAAAAATCTGGCCAACATGGCTGATTTTTTTTCCAGACAAATGAATATTACATTAATGAAAATCGGTCAAAACCGTGTTTGAAATTATCATTCATTTCAGTATGTGTGTTTGAAATCCATGGTGCCTGCTGGAGGCACGTCATGCCTGTACAGAAAGCTATTGATTTAATATCTGATGCATTAGGAAAAAACTTTATTAATGAAGCAAACATCAACAACTAAATTGTACAGCTAATTTATGTTCCTTGGCGCTGCAGTCTGAATGTCATCTCCATATCTTCTCACAATGATTACAGATTATAGTAGCTCAATCTGTCAATAGAGATCATCTTTTTTCAGTAGAAAGACATTGCAAAAAAAGTGTATCAATGCAGCACCACAAACCCAACACGTTTGACCTCATTCTTCATGTTTTTCATCATGTCCACATGTTTTTGGAACTCGGAAAGTGATAAAGAAATAAAATAGGGGGAAAAATTGTGAAGGAAAAACTATATTTAGGAAAATAAATCATTGGTTTAAACTAGATGAATTGAAGTTTATTATTTGTTTGAACTTTTCTTAAATTTATTTGAATAATATCAAATATCAGGAAACCTAAACATATATAAAATCACTTCATCTCTAGTAATATCTCGGCTAAATCACATGGGCACATCTAGGAGTTAGCAGGCAGTTTTTCCTAACTTGAGGCCTTTGACCTTGGCAATGGAATCTTCTCTTTTTCCCTGTGAGACATTTACTTAGGCGATGTCAGGGCTAATTTGGCAAAAACGACTATGAAGCTTGATGTTCATTTTCAGCAATTTCCATTGGTTGGAGATACATTCCTTTTATGCTTTCTGATTACACTATTACCCTCCATTCTCTGAGGATCTGGACGATGTTGATCTTGTGTACTACTTTGGAACTACCATCTGATTCAGGTGGTGCCACAAGCGTCCCAAAACAGCAATCCCAAATTATGCCAAAGTCGTGCAACAATTTCACACCTAGTTCTCACATATACATACACACACAGAGGCGTGTCCAGGATGGGGGCAGGGGGGCAGCTGCCCCCACTCAACCCCACCCAACCCCTATACATATATATTTAAAAATTCAATTATACATATTTTTGTGTGATGAATATATATAACATATACGTAATTACGCAAATTATGAATAAAAACATTGTGGCGCAGTGGAGAGGGACATACCTGCGTTTGTATTTCTTCTGTTAGGTTGGGGGTTCGAAACCTCCCTTCAGTTTTTTACTTCCAAACTTTAATTTTCCTTGTTTTCTTCCTGTTTTCTTTTTTTACATTTTAATCAAATTTAAAGTGAATTAATATATACTACGTATATGTTTACTTCCAAACATTTTTAGAGTTAAACTATACTTCTTTACATTTTACACTTAATATAAACTAATTTTTAGAAATAATTTTGCATTTACAATTTACATTATTTCTGAATACATACATCCCGCATTCAAATTATTCATCTATTAATATAACATCAAAAAATTAAAAAAATTGTGTTAAATTTATTTCTCACACAGTAAAATGTGTTAAGTATGATTTCATGTTTTTTTGCTGACTGATTAGTTTTTATTTATAATGAATTTTGTACTATTTTTCTTAAAGTGTTCAGCTACTTGTGACATGCGTGAAATAATACATACTCCCTCCTCCGTCTCAGAAAATTCTTCCGATTGGATTTGGATCGGAGTTTAAGAAAGTGGGAATAAAGTGAATTATATGATTGTGGTCGAGTAAAAAAATGTAAACGAATGTTAGCCACAAAAAACATTCCAAAAAGGAAAATGAGATGAATTTTTTCTGCACATTCCAAAAAAGATAAGTGCGAAGAATTTTATGGGACAGAGGGAGTAGTATAACTCGCCCCCACTCACATTAATTCCTGGATACGCCACTGCACACACGTATATGTGATATCATTATGTATACATACAATACTACTTTAATTTAATTACGTAGTATTATATATTTAAGTAACTGGTTTGACCGGCGAGGGCAATGGTCAAACCAGTTACTTGAATACAACAAGACTTGGTTGTTGTTGTTGTTGTATTTAAGTAACTGGTTTGACCATTGGACTTGCTGGTTAGAACATAGGACCCGAGCTCACAGATTCGGTCCTACGTCCTGAATGGGTTTTCTAACATTTCTTGCAATTACATCTTTTGAGGCAGATTATGAGAACGCTAAGAGCATTTTAATAAGCTAGACTTACCCCAGCAACAATGTGAACACCATTCATAGTTCGGACTTGATGAGCAGCTCTTCAACTGAGGTTTTGTACTTGGAAATAAGTTCCCTGAAATTAAATAGGAAAGTTTGCCCGTCAGAAAAAGTCCTAATAGAAATGGCTTTTTCTTAGACCTTAAGGATAGTGAATAATTGAACTATAGAATAGAATCTACACACTTTCGTTGATTTGACAACTCTTCAGCTTCAGCCAGTTTCTGCCTTTGTCCCTCAACAGTCTGCTAAAAATTCAAATCGAATTAGAATATCCACAACCTTTTCTGTCTTAGAATTATGAGAAAACTACAAAGAGCACTACTTAACGAAATATTTATCTCCATAAAGCTCCACGACATTTGAATTAGACGCACAGTATCATACTGTTAATATCTTTGTCAGCAGAGGCGACAACAACAATACCTGTTATCATTGGTAGTCAAGTCTAGTAGCACCCACCATTGACAACACTAGAGAGTAGCACCAGTCGTCTGAGGTGACACAAGTGGAGGGTGCTATTACTAATACTCCTATTGTTACTACCATCACCTGTGCAGTAGTAACACAAACTGCTACTGGTATTATAAAAAATTGAACATGGAGTTTTAGTAATTAAGTATAAATTTGATCATATGCAATTCTTTCTAGTCTCTAAAATAATCACTTCACCTGAAATTTCCAAATACTGTAAGGTGTATATAATTCTATTCTTCGCAATGGAATGAGTAGCATCTAACAGCAATATCCAAATACTGATCTTCATTTTGCTTCTTAAAATCAGAAATAGAATTAGAAAGTGTTCAATATTGCTTATCCATTATGATGCATAGGATCACTTCAGTGCCTGGATGATTTATTGTTTGAAACTGATTCTATAATAGAATGACCAAACCAGTATTTTTATATTTATATTTATAATTATATTGATATCTATACTTATATGTATATGTATAGTAATTACAGTTTATAGAGGTTGCTTTGTAGATTAATCTTCAAGAATTAGAATCAGTTTTTGATATACTGGTCTCATGGTTTCTCAAAAACTGATATTGCTCCACAATTAAGGGGAAAATTATGGAGATTTACACTAACACCACGTATTCTGGTTCTGCTTCAAAGTGTAAAAGAGTAGAGTCCATTTTAAAAATTAGATCCAAACACACCGAAGGAAGAATATTTTCCATTTCTTTCGGTGGGGTATTGAAGGTCTGTGGTTGCTACTTGCTATTTTCTAGAGACAAATTCCCAAAACTATCATATATCATTACCATGGACTTTGAGCTGATTGAAGCTGATATTGAGTTGAGCAGCTGTTGGCACTTGTCAAATTGGTTTTTCAATTCATTAACCTTGTATCAGACAGCAAAACGAAAAATAGTTAATCCGTAGCTTTTTTAAAGTATAAGAACCATTGATACAATGATACGCAAATGCGGCAATGCCATCACCGCTCTTTTTTATGCACAAAAGAAAAATAAGAATAAACGAAACAAGAATAACCATGGCATCTGAATGCTGATCGCGAGTCCCATTTTCGATTACATCCGCCAAATTCTCTACCAGCTACACATTAAGAGGAATTGGGAATCATGTCTTCGAATCAAAACACAATCAAACAGGCTGGCATACAAATCGAGGTCTTCCATGTCAAACCTGTATGAGATGAAAGTGAGACGCGAGTGACTGCTGCAGAGCCGGAGGCGGCGGCGTATGCGTCTGCATCTGCTGCTGCTGCTGCTGCTGATACAGCTGCTGTTGCTGCTGATTGAACTGCTGTTGTTGTTGCTGCTGCTGTTGGAGAAAGAGATGGTCTTGACTAGAGGGTGTAGAGGGGTTACTGGTAGTCTGGATGTTGGGGATCATCGTCCAGCTCCCCCCTCCATATCCGTCCATGTTTAGCACCGTTTTGATTTGCAGGCAGAAAAAATCTGAATTGATCGCACACAGAATAGCAGGCTTGTAAAACTGTAAAACTGCTATACGGTCTAATAAGGTTCAGCCCTGCACAGATTGAAAACTTGAAAAGATCAAATAAGCCCAGCCATCACTATTTGAGACAGTTTACCCCTGAATTTTTTTATTAAATTTTTTGATCATATTATTCATTAAATCTAGTTTACTCATACCAAATTTCAGCTAATATTTCAATCGGGAACGCATTCAAATTAATTCTTGAAGATAACTGCGCTTTTAACTGCGCAGTTATCTTCAAGAATTAATTTGAATGCCTTCCCCATTGAAACATTAGCTAAAAATTAGGATGAGTGAACTAGACTTAATTAATAAGATGGTAAAAAAAAATCATCAAAAAAATCTACCGGGAGCTGCCCCAAATGTCGACGGCCGGACAGAGCCTCCTATATAAGAGCTTATTTGACCTTTTTTACGTAAGTTCGATGACCTATCTCACTCTTTTCCTTAGAACGTAACAAATTAGATAGTTAGGGTAAAAATGTATGAAGCAAATGAGAAAATTTGGAAGAGGTTTCAAAAGGGAGAAAAGTAGAAAAAGAAGAAAAAAGAAAGAGAAAAAGAGGTTAAGCGTTAAAATGTGTTTTAGATTTCTATTGATAATTACTATTTTATTGATATATAAAGAAAAAATGAATGTCCGGCAGCCGTAGTGGCGACGTGCGTCCCCACGCGGGTTTCTTCGGCCGTGTTGATGTGGCGACGTGCGTTGTCCTCGTGTATTTTGCCCTTGCCTTTGTCAAGGCAGGGTCGATTCGATGTCCGGGATACGGACCTCAAGCTCTCCCTTGGTGAGTCAGGCTCACGTTCACCAATTCGTCCCGCTAGCCTCTCCGATGATGGCCGACGATGCGCGTCCCCTAGCCTATTGAAGGCTGAGGCTCTACGCACTGGGGTCAGTCCAGCTCGATGAGGGGAAGAAGTATCAGAATGGGATGCCGTGTCCTAGGCCACGACCCCCAACTAATTGCCGGAGACGTACGTCTGCCTGACGGAGGTGTGGCTGAAGTCTTATGCTTGACGTCGTACGTTCCCGGGTGACTGTTACGTGCTGGAGGATGTACGTCCCCGGGGTCTTCCCTTGTGGTTGAGGTCGTACGTCCCCGGGGTCTTGCCATGTGCTTGAGGTCGTACGTCCCCGGGGCCTTGGTCCTGTTCGTAATAGTGGAATTATGTGAGTCATGGGGTCTGGATCCATATACTCCATAAAAGAAGATTCTAAAAAAATTACACCGGATGCCGCCCCAAATGGCGACGGCCGGACAGAGCCTCCTATAAAAGGGCTGATTTGCACTTTTTATGTAAGTTCGAGGGCTTATTTGGTAGTTCTCCCAAGAAAAATTTGACATGACTTTTCTTCAAATATACAATCAACACATGCGCATGCTAACACTATCAACACCACGTGACAACCACTTCCCGAAATTCTAATCCACCCCACACTTAAACTTTTTATCGCTCTCGATGACCAAAAAATGCAATATGAACTATGGGTAAAGAGGAACGGGTCACACGTGCTCAACAAACTCAAGTCAACTTTTAAAAACAGGCAAGAATAAAGAGAAACTTCCCTTCTGCCTTGTTTGATCTCGAACCATAACGAGTCAACGTAATCATCAACGCATCATCTCGTAAGAACACTCGGAGCTCCAACTCAAAGCACACAAAAAACAAATAACGCACGGAAACCCCCTAGATTTTTTTTGGGTTCTTTCGGGGTTTTCTGAAAGCATTAAAAGTAAAACAAAAATGAAAAAATAAGTTTGGGTTGCCTCCCAAGAAGCGCCATTTTTAATGTCGTTTTCCCGACATAATAACCTCCTTAGAATTTCAATTAAAAATGCTCCTACTCAGAAAATTAGTTCTTCACATATCAAACCTCCCCTCAAAAAACGTCATTAGATGGCGCAAAACCTTGAATTCATGAAACGAAATGCTCATCTCAGGGTCACAAAAGGGGTCAAATAAAGATTCCTTAAAAGGTGGCGACCCCCACCCCCCACCCCCCCCCCCCCCCCCACCCCGTCCTAGTGGTTCCATGACATCTAGAAAATGAGACTCGTCTCTTGATTGACAAGACTGTTTTGCCAGTTTAGCCATGCTAAAAGTGACTCTCTCATCAGCAACCCTCAACACTAACTTCCTTTCCTCAACATCTATGAGGGCTCGAGCAGTGGCCAGAAAAGGCCTTCCAAATATTAAGGGCACCTCAAGATCTTGGGGCATATCCAAGACAACGAAATCAACATGAATTATAAACTTGTCCATTTTAACCAACACGTCTTCAGTAATCCCTTAGGATATTTGACTGAACGATCAACCAATTATATGCACATCCGTGTTGATTTAAGTGGACCTAGTGAAAGCTTCTCATACAAAGAATAAGGCATTAAATTAATGCTTGCCCCCTAAATCAGCCAAGGCCTTATCAAAACTCAATCTCCTATGTAACAAATGATAGTAAACTTACCTCGATCTTTGATCTTTTTGGGCATCTCTTTGAGCACCAATGTCAAGCACTCCTCATTAAGCACAATTGTTGATGGTTCCTCCAGCTTTTCGGTATTTCTAGGTAGGGATCCTTTAGGTCTCTCAGATTGAACTTTTGCAAGCTGACCCACTTGATTCTTCAAGTTTTGAAAACTTGTTGAAGTGTTTGCATGAACTTCCATAGTGTTTCTTCCAAACTGGTGTGAGCTCGTTGCCATTCAGGCATCTTATGTTATGCCTCCTTCCTTTGACTCTGTTGATGTGCTTGAGGTGGGGTCTGATGTGCCTGGGCTGCCCGAATTGATTGTAACTATTCCACTGTTGTTGATTCTCATGCCCATAGTTCCCCAATTAGTCTCAAAAATAAAAAACAATCGCCCACATTTGAGTTATGAGCTTTAACCTTTTAGCTCTAAAATGCTTACTATAAGAAGATAGTACCTTGTTTATAAAAAACTTGTTTGTTCACACAATTTTTAATTTTTTTTAAATTAAAAGTTAAGTACCAGTTAAACTTTCAACGTTTGGGTGGTTGGTACATTTTTCCTTGAGATGATATTTTTATTAGGAAAACAATCTTTTTGCTGGCAAATCAGTTTCAACATGGAGTGCGCTTGATTAATTAGGCAAGTTCACAGCTGGAGATTCGAGGGAAAGGTATCCGTTGCAAATCCGAACGTTACGGGCCCGACCGTTAGCTCATGACTGAATAAATGAATCAGATCCCAAGCGTCGATCTCGCCAAACTCCAGATAGTCTCTCAATTTTCCCTCGCTTAATAATTTCCTCATCACTACTCGCCAAATCAGTTCTAGCTCCCACAAATTCCGGACCGGGAAATCGGAGAAGTTAGCCGGCGGCGGAGATGGGGATGGTGGTGGTGATATCTCTGCCGTTTATCCTCTTCTCAATTCTGCTAGGGTTTGGGTGTTACTTCCTGGGAAGAGCCAGAGGCCGCCAAGATCTCCGAACCAGCGCGCAAGTCTTCGGCGTGCCAGCCCCACCTCCGGGCTCTAATCCGATGCCTACCGCCCACGCTAAGTCTGATGATCCTGCCCGCCTTGTTTGATTCCTTATCTGCTCTATAAATGTTTAACCCCGTCTTCTTTCTTCTTCTACACACTACAGTGATGTTTGTAATATATGCCGATTGTACTCGGATCCTTTGCTTGTCTGTCTGTTGTGATTTTGCTGTAATTTGTGAGGATGAAATATAATAATCTGTGAGGCTTTTTTTGCTGAAACAAAAGCAAGATGTGGTTTAGTGTTAAATGTGAATATGAGTTTATACAATCTTTGCAAGATATTAGTTGATTTATTGAAATCCATTTCTCTCTTTCTTTTTACGTTCTTTTACCTTTTTAGTTAATTCTTCCATCCCAATTTTTTCTCATTTTGAATTGGCAGAAGTGAAAATTGTGATTGCATTTAATCTAGAAATAGGAGAAAGAGAGGTAACAATTGTGAAACATTTATCTCACATGTAGTAAAATATAAAATGTTAAAGCAATGTAGAATTAGGAAAACCCTACGGCACCCAAAATTAAGCATCACAAATCCCTCATGCCGCCGGATAGTTTCTCATTTGTACAACTATTCATCACAGACTTTCTTAATTATCATTCAAGACTTTCTTAATAATAGAGTTTGGAGTCATAAAAAGGATTATTGTCATTGAATTGTCTGTTTAATGCAAAAATGTGCATGATGCATATGTTACTACATGATAGAGATAGATAAGTAAAAATAATTTTTTTTACATAAAAATAAATTAATGACATTTCTCTCTTGGATGTTTTGGCAACTTTTATCAACAATGTCAACCATGAATTCTCATGATCTCTACATATAGACATTATATTTGACATTGTACTAAATTTATCAAAATCATATCAAATCATTAAAATAAGGAAATATATTTTTTACTTAATAGTTTTAATATGTCAAACCGTCTCATGCCATGTATGCACTGCATTATTCACATTTTTGCATTGGAGATGTTCTTAGTACCGATTTTAATCTCACTCTTGGTTAGTGTTTTTTAATGTTTAAGAAGGTTCCTAGACATATCCTCCCACTCAATTAAATTTTGAAAGAATGACTAAAAGAGTAAAAGGTGGTTGTATAGTCTTTCATGAACAAAAATGTCAGCAGATTCGTTTTGGACAAAAAACATATGAAAGAGGAGTAAAATGTCTCAAATGCCCCTGCTTCCAAACCATAATTCCAATCTATTGTATTACTCATTTCAAACTACCGCTCATCAGCTTAGGCGCCCAGACTATGCAGCTCTTGCTCTTCATGGAGGCAATCTCATCTGATGAATCATGAATATGGCGACTAGACTTTGTGACGAAGATGGCAACCAAACCCCGTTTCAGCCAACTCTCATTCTCTTCTTCTCCTTTCTTCTTGTCTGCAAACTGTCATGGCTTGTTCCGTCGTTATTCATCCTCCAGCAGCGAGATCTATCGATCTGGTAGCATGCTTCATCCATCCAGTGATGTGCTTCATCAAATTTGGAAACCAGCGATGACTTTGGTGGCTATAGATTCTTGACCCTAGGCGGATCTGAAACTTGTGTTCTTTGGGGCCGGTTAGGCTAGGGAGGAGTGCGGAAGGCAGAGATTTAGTGTAGGCGGTGACGGTGGTCAGGGTAGTGGTGGCGGCATGTGGCCAAGGCAAGTATGGGGTTGTGCAGAAGTCACTAGCACTAATGGTACAAGTCATTATAACTGTTCTGTTGAAGTCATTGTAACTGTTGCCAGCGTGTCAGTGTGGCCGAAGTCACCGTGTCACCGTACGTCGTGTCACTGTAACCGGTGTGACAATGGATGTTGTCACTAGAGAGTGGGGCTGGGATAAATAAGTAAACTTAATGCTTAGTAGTAGGGGTGGGCAAAATGGTTCGGTTTGACCGAACCGAACCAAAAAATAGAAGTTTGGTTTGGTTTGGTTTGCCCTATTCAAACCGTTTGGTACAAATATTTACAAACTGAATGGTCCAGTTCAGTTTGGTTTATAAACCGAAAAACCGTATGACCCAATCGGTTTGCTTATTTCTAAAAAACGCAGGGTTACACAGCATATCACTATATGTATATGCGGTCTGCGCCTTTGCGGACTTCAAACTTTTTCAAAGCTGTGTACAAGCCATGAACCCTCTATCATTATATCGAATTATCGATTGTAGAAGACAGAAGTCTATTCACATGCCGCCTTCATCTCCTTCCCTTATCCTAATTCCTAACTGTTGAAACTTGTAAGCTTGAAATCTTGGGTGGTCAGTAACTTAGTGCAAGGTTTTCAAGTAAGGTCAATAGACTTATCTGTTTATGTATCTTCTGATTTGATTTTCATTCCATTCTTTCTTTGTTAAAGTAGAACTCCTCTTGGAGATGAATCTAAATTGTCCTTAGACTAGGGTTTCTGTTCAAAGAATATTTCAATGTTTTAACTTGGGTGTGAATTGTTCGTTGCTAATTGCTATCACTGTAAATCTATAAATATTCACGCTCTTTGTAATTCAAACCATCTTCTCTCTACAATTATTTTGAATAACCCAAATCCTTCTTTTGTTTTGATCCCTATTTGATGTGTATATCAGATGTTTTCAAGGGCTATGGACTGTACGTACATTAGAGCATGTTTACTCTCACTTCACAATTTTTTTGTCAAATACTCTTATGTAATAATGCTATTGTTTATTTTGTTGGTGAGTACAAATATTTGACATTTTATTTTGTTGGGCCAGCAGGGGACTGCTCTAAGTCTCCCAGAATGCAGTAGATCCCCTTTGTTTTGCTTGGAAATTGGAATGAATGAATGATTTAGTTTGTAAAACTGTAGTTGCATGAATACCCATCTTTGAAATGTAGGTTTGCAGTTCTATACTTCTATTCATAAACTGTATGCAGTGTGCTTTAATTGTGCTACTTGAAAATGCAGTGATTCATGAAAATACAGTACTAAATTTCTGGAATTACTGAAAACTAATTACTATGTACTCCATAGTATATTTCTACAGAACAAGTAGGCAGAATTATCTAAATATGATGCTTGATAAGTGATAGTGTATGTTGGGTAATTTCTGCAGCTTCTGCTTCTCTTGGGAACAAAACTAGAGCACATTATTACTGAATTAGCCCAAGCTTTCGCAGAAAGAGAATCAAAGGACGCTTCTGATGAGTTGTTTTGGTTCAAAAGCCCAAAACTTGTGCTTCACCTAATTCACTTCATTCTGTTCCAGAATTCCTTTGAGATTGCATTCTTTTTCTGGATTGCGGTAAGCATGTTCTTAAGTCTTAATGCATACATAGTAGTGGAAACAAAAGGATAAAATCTGTTTTCATTCCACCAACTTTACTGCTTTATCTCCAATCTCTCTTACTCTGATTAGGGTGGACTCGGGCCGGGCCAACCGGCCCGGAACCGGACCGGCCCGCCACTGTGCGGGCCCGGACCGGCCCAGGAACCGGTTGGTTGGCCGGTTCAGGCCACCCGGCCCGGTGGATTCTCGGTTCGGGCTCGGGCCCTTCAAAAGGTGAACCGGCCCGGTCGGTTCGGGCCCGGGCCGGGCCAATTTTTTTTTTTTTTTGAATTTTTTTTGAGTTTTTGGGTTGGGCTAGGTATTTTGGACCATTTGAGGTGGTTAGGGTTGGTTTGGGGTGAGAGGGAGGGGTGGGGGTTAACTAGGAAAAGCCCCAAAAAAAAAATATATACCCGAGGCCCGGCCCGGACCCGGGGGTTACCCGGGCCGGTTCCGGGCCTCCCCTTCTTGAACCGAGGCCCGGCCGGGCCCGGGCCTGAACCGGAACCGGTCCATGCCTAGGTTGTAGTATTACAACACTACACTGCTATTTGAAGGCAGTTTGTGAAGCATTAGTATGTGTACTATGTGAAGGCAGGTTCTCTAGTTTGCTCCACTGCTATTTACTTATGTAGTATGTAGTTCTTTTATTTCATATAGTTGGAATTTCAATGAGAACATAGCATTCAAAATTACACAAAGTGGACTGTAAAATATGTAACACATAATCCTTTTCAAGTTTATGAACCGAACACCGAACCGAATATCAAACCGAACCGAACCGAATTTTTCCCAAACCGAACCGAAACCAAACCTAAATTCTGTTGGTTTGAGTTTGGTACTATTTTTCTCAAACCGAATAAACCGAAACCGAACCGAAACCGATAAAAACCGAACCGTAAACCGATTCGCCCACCCCTACTTAGTAGCCATATTTTTGGAAATTTCAAGTAGTCACTAAAAAAAGTGCCACTTTTTCATCCATTATCCACTTTCAGTAATATTCAGGCCAAACCCCTTTAAATTTTTGGTAAAATAATTCCATAAATTGCATTAACCTTTTTTGAGAAACATGGATCAAACGAGATGTACCTAACAAGGATGACGTTTGACAAAAAAAAAATTAATATGGACCACTAACTCAAACATGAAATAATGACATTCACCAATCATATGCCTTTAGATAATGAGAGGAGATTGGGTATTAATTTCAACCTTTATTTGTCATGACTCATGACAAGTAAACTGTTAGATGAGTCATGGAAAAGAGAGAATGGGTTCACATAAACTGATGAGTTTGTTACATTTTTTGGGCACATTCCTACATGGCATATATTCATTGGATAATGAAAAACTATACAACTTTTCATGACCTATTGAATTCATATCATATAGGATTTAGGAATGTACCCAAAATGTACCTAACAGTAGAGCTAGTGACCAATCAATATTGATGTCGAGATGTCAGATTCCCTTTCTACTACTCTCTAAATTCAGTCAAGAATGGCTCACAATGAGCGAAATTAATACAATCAATTTCAGGACATGATAATTCAAAATATACTGCAAAAAACTGCACTAATAGTGTAGTTCTCAACTCTGCTGCTCATGCTTTCATTTGCACAAAACAAGTGCACCTAGAAAGAGGAGCCATTCACCATTTCTATTGATCCCCAGTAGTTACAGACAACATACATGTGTCTTGCATATACTTCCAGTCTAGTTATCTAGAATCCCACCTACTCTCATAATTTGCCAACTACTTTGTATTTTGTACACTATATAAAATCGTGCTAGGGAAGTGTGTATAAACACGAGAACGAGACGAGGAATGAAAGAAATCATAGGTCTAAGCGGTTCATTTAACGTGTCTTTGACAGGGTCTTCATCAATCCTTTAACAATTTTCCCAAACCACACCAGGTTCATTATGCCCAGGATTGCTGGCACTACAAATACCAGAAGATATCCAAAGGGATGCATCTGGATGACCTGCATGTAATTTATTGTAAAGGGCATCATCTTCTATTACTTCTTCATTTGTTACGGAAAAAAGAAGTGTATACCGTCAAAGTATTTTTTTAATGATGATGGGATTAATTGATAAATAGAGACAGAAAGAGATGTGCATCTATCCAGCATGTATAATGCAATTGTTTACTTTGTTTACCATTTTTACACCAATATGGCAGACATAAATCAAACCCAGAAGTTTCACAACAATTCTATTTACCATTTTAGTCACCAAAAAGGATTATTCTCAGTATTCCACACTTCACCCACCCCTTATATTACCATTTTCATCGCGTAAAGCAAAATTTTGCATCAACTGTGTGAAAAAGTCTACACTATTCAGTCTACACACAATACTTTCCTTTCTCATGCTTATACTTAATGTGATGTGAGGTAGGTAATCACATTTCACAAACTAAAGAGTTCTTTTGTGTATGTTTCTTCTCATCAACTCAATATTTTGGTACAGAAATAGTGTGAGAAAGAATCAAACGTTCTGAAAAAGTACCTGATCATAGTGGTTGTAAACATGATAAAACATGTAAACGAACAACAAAATCCTGGCGACCTGCATTAAGTGGTATATCATAGTTACATGATGTTCTGAATCTTTGGGAAAATAATGAAAGTAATGAAGAAATCTCTTGATATATCTCGTGTCAATATCTCTTTAATCACAATGCCTTATGATTAGATGACTCACCAACCAGACAACAAATATCACAACGCCATTAATCAAATAAGCACTTGATCTCTTTAATCCAGCTGTGTCAAGATACCTCCAATGAAAAGAGAGAATTTAGGAACGAGCTTCTAGACGAGTCAGTTTACTGTTTTAAACACTTACCATCTCAAGTTGATCTCTGGAGTTGTTATCTCAGATATGAGCACCATGAATGTATATAGTTGCCCTTCTCCAGTAAACATGGAATACGCAACAGCAATTCCTGAAAGAGCGTGATGAACAACCTGAAAACCAAAAGGTGCACATATGACATGCAAAACATATTCAACAATACTTACTTCAGAGCTCACATCCACTAGCCATTTTTTAGGGATTCACATAAAAATGTGAACAATGTCAGGAGAAGTGGAGAACCACTAGAAGATGTAGAGCTACAGAATCAACCAAATCAATTTAAAACTATTCGTTTTATCATCCAGTGATTTTGTCAGCATAGAATTCATCCTGATAGCAGTGCAAACTTAGATCAAGTCCTACATCTTTTGTGCAAAGCAGATTTATTTGACAGCCACATTAACGTTTCAGAACAAGTTATGAAGTTCCAAAATAACACAAATCATTATCTCATTATTGTGGAATGCTGTAAAAGTCTTATAACTGACAATGCACCAAAAATTAATCAAGTGTATGCCGTTTATCCTCCAGTGACTAAGTCAACCAAATCCGCGTAATAGAACAAAGTAGATTAAGATTATTTCTTTAAGGGCAAAAGTCACATGAAACACATCTGGATGCACTTTTGTCAAAATGTAGTTTTAAGAAGTGGTTTAGACAAAATCAGTTCTAGTACTAGTAGTTACGGTAAAAACCAGAATAGTTTTAGCAATACTCATCTAGAAAAGCACTTTTAAAAGAACCACCTATCATGGACTGCTATGGTAAGCATTACTGAAGTATTAAGTTTTTTTATAATTTTTTAAAGCGCTTCTAAAATTTTATCCAAGCATCATTCTAACATGTAAAAGCACTTTTGAGAGCAGACGCAGATTCAACAGGTTCCATTAAGTCAAGGCTGTTACGTTCTGCAGGTTTTTTGTCTGATTGACACATTCAAATGAGTTATATGTGTGATTCAACAGTGAGAAACATACATAGAATCCACACACAAAATCATCTAAGCCTTATGCCCAAAAGAGTTTGGGGTCAGATAACATCAAATCCACAGTCATTAACGATGCAGATTGTATTACTATGATAAACATTTTAGTGCGTGTTTTGAAGTTCCTTAAGAGGTACTTCTGTTGTTTCACGGTAAGTACCATTTTAAGGATAAAACACACAGAATAAGAAATTTATATAATGTCCTAGAATCTTGCAAATGTGGAAAAATCGAATTAAATGTTCTCTTGATTTTATAGTGACTGATATTATATACAGCCATTTTCAATATTATATACAGCCATTTTCAACCGAAACACGCTTAGTGTGAGATGGAGGATTCAGTATTTTGCAAGTTTTTAAGGTTTTATGACTAAGTAAGACTAAAACTTAATCATTTGTAGATAGGAAAGCAATACTATTTGAATGAAAAATAAGGAGTATATTTATGCCAAAGAATACTCAAGGTGCCACTGTACTAATGGATAATGATTTATGACACTTTATAAGAACATATAATCTATTAATTAATGAGTGGTGATGAAAAAATCTTAGAACACCACTTTCCAAAGAATCTGTTAATAAAAAACCACACCAGATACTGGAAGGAAATCAGAAGAAGTGGTTTTACTTACAATGTTGTCACTCAAAAACATCATTCGAAATTACTTTATATGGATACTATAATGTAGACCAAGCAACAATTATCTGCACAGCTCATTCTTTATTTGATGATTTTACATGCAGACTGTATATATGACAACATGTTATGTGCTAACCATATCATTGATGTAGATGACTAGATATGATAGCATATTCACTCCAAGAGAATAAGATAGTATTAGTACATAGCCACTAATGCATATCTACATTACTTTAAATAACGATGAGCATCAATGTGATCACAATTTTCAAAAGTATACTTACATACTCAACTCCACCTAAAGCAGGATAAAGCCAGCAAATCATTCCAAGATCTGAAATAAAGTACCCAACAGAGACCTGATGAAAAGAGTGTAGCAAATCAAACAAAAGTAGAAGTGCATCAGTAAAAAATGAATACCGTAGAGAAAATCAGAAAGCAAACAGATCATATAGAGACCTTTCAGGCATATGCAACGAGCATGTAAATTTCAGACTTCACTTAAATTACTTATGTCTGTTGAATTTGCCGAGAAAACATGTGAAAACTAGTCTCAGATCAATCTCAAACTCTTATTTTGTATAAAAAATAAATGCCATTCTTATTGTGCAAGGCTCCAAAATCGTAAATGTTCTAAGCCTCAATAATATAGCTTCCCATCTATCTTTTGAGCTAATGGCTGTTCAAGATGAAGATTTGAGTTAAAGGACTGAAGAAGAAAAGGTAAACATCCTTGGCTTGGGTGTAGAAATCCTAGTAGCTAGTGTATTTTTTGGGTATCTTCTTTCTACGAGAACTTCACTTTTGTTTCGTAAAGTTGAAAGAAACTAATAAAGACATATCAATATGATTGTGTAGCTTATCAACACAAATCCTTGGTTGGGAAGGAAATGCAGTGGTGGAGGTATCCCCAAAGTAGAATTGTACTCATAGCATCATGTTTCCCTGAGGAGGAAAAACTTGAGATCCAAGAGAGCTTGGAAGTTTATTGAGTATGTCCTTTTTCGCATTTGTTTATTGGAGATAGATGCACTAGAGGAAGAAGCATATGGTTAAAAGGAGATGTGTACACTTCTCCTGCTGTTAAAGGCTTGAAGTGTTAAACCAACAAAAAGTTCAGGAAATCTTTTTATCATCTACAGATCTATCCACAAAGCCCAACTTCAATGAAACACCCAAAAAAATACAGCTCAAAGAACTATTTGCACATACATTCAATGAAACAGAAAACTCAGAATTTTTCAAGCATGCAAGAGAAGTATCTTCACTGTTCTTATGACTGCATGTTATTATTCATATGGTTGTACTCCTCCTGACACTACTTCCAACACAGTTAAACTAACAGCCACATTGTCAGTTTACCTCATTGGGCTCTTTTGTGTTTGTGGAATTTAAGTAGTGAGTACATCCCACTATCCCAGAGTTTTTATTTTTTTTCCATCATCATTCATAAAAGGAGCAAAAGGACACAAACAAATCTATATATGTATGTATGTCTTATGTAATCAAATTCACTGAAAATAAAACCAGTCCACCCATTGAAAAATCAAATAAGAACATAGGATTTCAGCAATGTTAACCAACAGTTACCCACTTACCCCTAATGTAAAGGTTGACATTGATGAACTTTGGAATGTCAAAAGACCGACTGGATGGTGCTCTGAGAAAAGATCGGACAAGAAGACATAGTACAAAGACATAACAGAAATGAAGATGGCATGGACGGTTGACATAGCACTGCAGAAAACAATTACCACCAGGAAATTGTTAAAAACAAAAAAAAATGGAACAAAAACATGTGGGATGACAAATTGAATCAGAAATTTACCGGTTGTTCCATTCAGTCCTTTGAATCTTTGTAAGGCTACTATAACTCCTGAAGTAAAATGCACTTATCAACTGAGATAGATCATAGACCTGTGAGAAGCCAAGGCAATCTCATTGTGCAGGAAAAGGTAGGGGGGGGTAGTCGTCCTCGGGCCCTTTTTTTTTTAAATGCATTCTAAAAAATTACACAACAACAAAAATTAACATAGATAGTATGTGTACCATTTTGCCTGCAAATATGCCACTAAAGATTGAAGTGTATGGAATAAAAGGGTCAGATAGCACATAGTTCTTAACCAATGTCTCTGCCTGATTTTGGTAAGTCTTAAATGCCATGGCTGTTCTTCTAGCAGCTGCCATTATGAACGGAAAGGGACCGTGAAATTGAAACTCAGCTAAAATATGATATCCATCGACGTAGCTCGTGCACAACTGTATGTTAAGTCCCTGGAATATAGAAATAAAACTAGAATGAGCATGCATAACTCATAGCTGCATCATAGCATTCATCAAACTAATAAAGGACAACCCATTGAGTGAAGATCACTTGGCTACAAGTCTACAACCCAGCTGGAATAGCAGAAAAATTATTAAGAAAAACTGACATTGCATTTGGTATCTCCATCCACTGGTTATAAGAAGAAATGAGAATTCTCGGAGCAAAAACTAAAATGGAAGGTGCACAAATGCTGTTGCAATTTGAATTTGTAGGTCAAAACATGGCAATGATGAAACATCCAAGATATCAGATTCCTAACCCCCGAGATCCATTATTAATGCCAGGAATCATAAAAGACTTCATATTTATCTGAACCAGGACAAAAGGTGAAGGAAAAGAAAAGGAACCCAGGGTGTTCCTTCTGAGCAGGATGCGGGAATGAGGTATTTGAGAAGAAATGCCAAAAGAGTGAAGCCAGCCGCAAAGAATCGTGAATATCAACCCACCAGAAAAGGTTGAGATGCAAAATTTTGGTGGGAGGGAAACGAAATCTGCGAGCGAAGCAACGAGAGGAATGATTAGCAGTCCTTCGGTAGGTGGCAGTGGAGGTAAGATGACGGGGTGATCAGGTGAGACTTGCGTTTGGTTGCGCTGCTCGGTTGCCTACACGGCATCTGTATTGCCAGAAATCGAGGATAGGAAGGGGTGATGGGTTTGTTTCATGCTTACTATGGCTGGCGCTGTCGTCCTTTCCAATATGTAGTACCCAAACCGTTTGATCAGACTGTAAGCCAGCTTCTTGTTTTGGGGGTAAACCGTGAATATGATTAAGCACAGGAGAGTCACACTTTAAGTTTATAATAAAAACTACTCCCTCCGTCCCAAAAAAAAACGTCCTCCTTTGACTTCACACATATTAAGGAAATGAATTTGACTTCACACTGTAGCGACACTGTTTGGTACTGTAGCGACACCGTAATGACACTGTTTGACACTGTTTTGAACTATTTGACACTATTTGATATAGATTTGTTTACAAAATAAGGAAAGTAAAAAGGTAGGACAATTATTTTGGGACATCCATTTCAGGAAAACAGGACATTTATTTCGGGACGGATGGGGTATAAAAGTATTTGTCCTAAATAGGACTAAATTAATAGGAAAATTCTTAAATAAGAGTTCCTAATGATTTATTACCTAAATATGACCTATTAATTAATTGTTCGAGTTATATCTTCTCTTTTTTTCAAACATTATGTATCCCTTCCTTTTTTCAATTATCACACCCTTCCACAACTATTTCTCTCTCCTCTCTATTTCTCTCATCTTCTCATTTATTACGCACCAAAACCAAACCTTTTTATCTTGGGATAAGGGTCAGACAGACCCTCGAATTTGGGAAAAAAATGTCAAATAAGCCCATATTTAGGATGCTATGTCCGGCCGACGTCATTTGGGGCGGTTCCCGGTGGAACTTTTTGATGAATTTTTTTGAGAATCTTATTCATTAAGTCTAGATTATTCATATCAAATTTGAACTAAAACTTCAATCGGGAAGACATTCAAATGAATTCTTGAAGATAACTGCTCTTTTAACTGCGCAGTTATCTTCAAGAATTCATTTGTATGCCTTCCCGATTGAAGTTTTAGTTCAAATTTGATATGAGTAAACTAGACTTAATGAATAAGATTCTCAAAAAAAATCATCGAAAAATTCCACCGGGAACCGCCCCAAATGGCGTCGGCCGGACAGAACATCCTAAATATGGCCTTATTTGACATTTTTTTTCAAGTTTGAGGCCCTCTATCTGACTCTTATCCCTTTTATCTTCTCTCTTTTCCCTCTACTCTCTTTCTCTTTCCCACCACACCACCTCACCTCTCATCTACGTACATCCCTACCCCTCCTCTCTTCTTCATCCCCACTCCCAGAAACAAATCCGATCTTCTATGCCGGCAGCATGGTTCGATTTCGGCGGCGTGGTGCGACTCCGGCGAGGTGCGACTCCGGCGAGGTGCTACAAATCTGGTGGCATGGTGTGAATCGTTTCTACAGTAAATATTTTCCATCTTCTCTTTCTCTTCCACCTTTCACCCTTCTTCTTCTTCACTTGGGTCTCTGTAATTTTTTTTATTTTCAGATTCAAAAAAGAAAATTTTAAATATGGATTTGAAAGTTTAGCAGTAGAAAATCTGAGGCTCCACAAATTGTTTATATGAAAATTTTAGATCTTATCTTTTTATTATTAACATTCAAACGTCCAATCATTTAAAAAAATCTGATTTTTATTTATTATTTATAAATTCTTTATTTGAAATTTTCAATTTAATGAATTTGGGACTGAAAAACCTATAGCTAATGTTTATTTTTCAAAAACTTATTTGAAATGAAAAAATTACATAGATGAAAAAATTATTTTAAAAATGACATGTTTTTTAATATGTTTGGAAAATAATGACATCTTACATTTACGAAGTTGGCATTAATTTCAAAAAGATAGCAATGTTACTTGAATATGTTAGGCAAATAATGTCATATTTTATAACCATTAATGTCATGTATTTTTACAAAATGGCATTATGATTTTAACATGACATTAAATGATTTTTCACCAGATCTGAGACAGATCTGAACTCTACCATGGTCAGATCAATGAAGGTCGACAGCGGTGATGTCACAGGTTGCAGATGAGGCGACGATGATGCTGGTACGGCAGCGGCGGCACCGACGCCGGTGGTGGTGGCAGATTTGATGCAGTTGGCGGCGGCTCCGACGTTGGTGGCAGCGGCTCTGACGCCGATGGCAGCGGCTCCGACGCCGGTGGCGGCAGGGGCTTCGACGCCGGCGGCAACGCCGACGCCGATAGTGACAGTGGAGGTTGCACTACCATTTTGTTTTGTGCATGAGGACTAATGGGCTTCCCATTTTGTTTTATTATTTCATTTTGTATTATTAATTACTCTCTCTGTCCCGATATAATCGTCCTGTTTTGACTTTCACACAGATTAAGAAAATAAAGTTGACTTCACACTGTAGCGACACTGTTTGGCACTGTAGTGACACTGTTGACACTGTAGCGACACTGTTTGGCACTGTTTTGTACTGTTTGACACTGTTTTGTATAGATTTGTTTACCAAATAAGGAAAGGAGACAATTATTTCGGGACGGACGGAAAAGGAAAGCAGAACAATTATTTCAGGACGGAGGGAGTAATTAGTAAACTGATTCACTCATTAAGGGTAATGTTTTCATGTCACCTCACTTTAGTCCTACGGAGCACTACAAACTCTTGAAGTCCTATTATTGCATTTTGTACAAGTTTTAGTCCTAGTTAGAGAATTATCTCGAGAAATGGTTGGAAATAGGACTACAAGTATCCGTATGTATCTAAATAGGACTTCAATCTTTTTTACTTCTAAATAGGACTGTATTTTCCGTGTATTCCAAATTTACCCCCAATTTCTATTCCCGTGTCTCACTTTATCCTTTCTCTTCCCTAGCGGCCGACACTCCCACGAGATGAAGAAGACTAGCGTGGTGGTGAAGCTGGAGATGAGGCACAACCGAGAAGAGACAATGGCACGGAATCGCGGCAGCGGTGGCACAGTGAGTTGGTGAGGCGGCGGAGGCACAGAGATGCGACTGCGGCGGCTGCACAGCGACGCTGCAGCCAGTTAGTCGGAAATTCCCAGTAAGTCTCCTCCTTCTTTTTCTTCTTTCTGCTGCGTCTTCTCTTCCTTCGTACGTGTTGCACTCCTTTGTTATTTTTTTTGCAGCGTGCAAGAAGCTGCGAGATCTATTATCTGCCAGATCTATTCTCTTCCTTCATCTTCTCTGTTTTTCTCTTTCGATTTTCCTTTTTGTCTTTTTCTTCTATTTTTTCTTTCAGTGTTCCTTTCTCTTTTTTGTTTGTTCTCTTAAATTTCTGTTGTAGAAATAATTTTTGGAATTAAATCAGAGAATGTTTTGTAATTTTCCTTTGGTTTGTGTCAATATCTTTGGCATTGTTTTTAAAATTCCAGTTTTCAACAGTGTTGAAGAGTTGATAATGCATATGATTGAATACATATATCTTTGACATTATTTTCAACAATATGATGTTTTGACTTTTTTCCTACAATAAAACAATGTTAAAGATATAATGACATTGTTCATTTTGAGAATGTTTATAACAAAAATGTTTGACATTGTGACATTTTTTTTTTTACATTGGGACACTTTTCTTTGTAACATTTTCTTACACACATTTGACAATGTTTATAGCATTGTAACATTGTTTGTTTTTTAAAATGCTTATAATGATAATGTTAGACATTGTAGCATCCTCTTTTACAGTGGAGATCGTTGAAGGACCGTGGGAGGAGGCCGTAGGAGTTATAGATACAGCGGTTGCCGAAGGTCCAACCGGAGGAGGTCGCTTGAGCACCGGCGTTCATTGACATTATTTTTAGCAATGTAACTTTATACTGATTGAGATTCACGATATTGTCATTGACATTATTACAATGTCGTTTTTATAACATTGCTATTGTCATTGCCACAACATTGTCATGATTTTTAATAATAACAGGGAACAAAATAAATAATACTATCGTACTAATAAATTGTGTTAACATTCTCACAATTATTTCTTTTTAACAATGTTTACAATAATGTCACATTGACATTGTTTTTAACAATGTCATTTTTATAACATTAACATGTTCACGATAATGTCATTGACACTGTCACGACAATGTCATTGACATTGTCACAACGAGCTATTGTCATTGCCATGACATTGTCACGATATTTAATAACAGGGAACAAAATAAATAATACCCCAGAGTACTAATAAATTGTGTTAACATTCTCACAATTATTTCTTTTTAACAATGTTTACAATAATGTCACATTGACATTGTTTTTAACAATGTCATTTTTATAACATTAACATGTTCACGACAATGTCATTGACACTGTCACGATAATGTCATTGACATTGATTGTCACGACGATGCCATTTTCATTGTCGTCATTATAATGTCATTTTTATAACATTGACATCATCACTATATGACGACATTGTGACATTTTTTTGACATTGTGACGTTTTCATACATTTTGACAATATTTGAAATATTGAGAGATTGTTTATTTTTTAAATATTTAAGTGGTAATGTTTGACATTGTGATTTTTTTTACATTTTGATATTTTTATGACATTGTTATGACATTGTCATCATGATTAATTGACATTACAATATTTTTTCAACGTTGTAACTTTTTTTCAATAAAATTAACATTGTCATAAAAGCTATTGACATTGACGTAATTACAATGTCATTTTATGGCATTGACAATGACATTGTCATTGTGACATTTTCTTAACCCATTGACATTTTTATGACATTGCCGTTGTGTTCAGATATGTCATTGTAATTCCATGACACTAGTTATGTGCAATAAACAATGTCATAACATTGATAATCCTTTTCATTGTAACAGTGTAATATTCTTTTTAATTAAATTGATTTTAGCACCAACATTACTTTTAATATTGGGACATTTTTTGCAACATTGATATGATTCTAAAATTATGACATTGATATGTCATTGACATTGCTATATCTATTATCATTGATATTTAATTTTTGACATTGTCATTTTCAAAATGTCACGTCAATGCCATTGTTATTACAATTTTATAAGACAATGGTTACAATGAAATTTAGCTGTGGAAAGATACACCAATTCCGCAAGAAAGATACATCATCAGTGGAAAGCTTACGTTCTCCTCTTCTCACACCTTCTTCTAACATGTGTCTTTTTTTTACA